CGAACATCAGCTGGGATCACTCGAAGGGCAAGTTGTGCGTGCTGCCGAAACTGGAATTGGTTGAAAGCCCTGGTCTACCAACGGGGGAGAATGTGCGGTCATGCCGCAGCCTAAATCCAATCACTAAATTTCAAATCTTAACGTAAATTCATTGCTTGCTGTTTGCCTTTGTTTTGCTATTTGCCCTGCGCCGACAACACTGTCATTTATTGAAATTGCTAACTCTCTTTTGCACTTTTTCTTATCGCTGCCTGGCCTTTATCCATGGCAAGCAGCTTCTATGATAGTTCGACTTGGTACTCGCATGCAGAAGTCATGGTCGCTGATCGCCTGCCTATTCTTTCGCTTTATATACTTTCCCGACTTAAAGGCACAGACAAATCGGTCTGCCTGCTCAACAAACCCTTCACATACGAGGTGTGTTCAAAAAGTACCGCGAATTTTGAATTTTCACGGTTTACCTCGTATCGAAATTCGATATTTTTGTAGCGTTATGTTGGTACTCATGTCTCTCACTTATGCCGACAAGCTCGGCCATTTTAAATGTTCACTTACTTGTTGACAGCTGCTTTGCTTACGTGGATGCATTCCGAATGTTGACTGTGGCATGCGGAGAAGCTACCTTGGACCGAAGCAACGTTTATCGGTGGTACAAAATGTTCTCAGAACGCCGAGAAGATGTGAACGACGCAGAGCGTGCCGGACGCCCGAGCACTTTCATTTCGGTCGAATGTGAAAGTTTTGTTGACAGTTTTCTTCGTTTGCAGGGGCGTGGTGCATCATGAGTTCTTGCCACAGGAAAGAACGGTCAATAAGGAATATTACCTGCAAGTAATGCGCAATTTGCGCGAAGAAATCCGCCAGAAACGCCCGGATTTGTGGAAGAACAAAAATTGGCTTTTACACCACGATAACGCCCCTGCTCACACATCGTTGCTTGTGCACGACTTTTTGGCCAACAAGAACACACTAATGATGCCGCAGCCACCGTATTCCCCAGATCTGGCCCCCTGTGACTTTTTCTTGTTTCCTAAACTGAAGAGGCCCATGAAAGGACGACGTTACGCTACGCTTGACGAGATAAAGACGGCATCGAAGGAGGAGCCGAACAAGATAAAAAGAAAATGATTTTTTGAAGTGCTTCGAAGATTGGAAAAACCGTTGGCACAAGTAGGGGAATGTTGTCAGGGTTGGGCCATATTTTGACCTATGTCCATAAGTTCTGAACGAATGACAATTCAGAATAAGTTTATACATTTTTGGAAAGGTACAAGCAATAGCAAGTGTTCACCAAAAATAGAGAATAAAAAAAAAGTACACATGTCAGAAGTGAAACTTCTTTGGCGAACTAATTTATCAGTCTTGTCTATATTTATACAAATCCAAAACTTTAGATTTCCGAGACTTAAAGAAAGGGAAAAAGGAAGATATGTTAGGATTTTAATTGTCATTAAAATATTAAAAGTGTTGAAAATTAATATACAGTAGAATCCTGTTATAACGACTCCGCTTATAGTGTCCGTCCGGGTATTGCGACGAAAACTCGATGGCTTGATTGGTCCCCAGACAGACTTATACACTTAAATCCTTCTACTTAGTGCGTCTTCCGGGTATAACGACGAAAAATCGTCGGTCCCTTGAAAGTCGCTATAAGCGGATTCTACTGTAAATTATAAATTTAGTTTTTCAAATTTATTTCTTCAATATTTACACTATTCGACACGTTTCCTATGAGTATTGTTTTTAAAAAAAAGAAAATAAGCTAGCTTCGGCTTGCCGAATACCCTTGCAGTCATCAAATATGTCGAACAAAACGCATAAAGGCTGAACAACAACGAAGCTAGGACGATTTTTCTATTCATTTTCCATATTTTTGTCTATAGATCATATGGCAGCTATATGATATAGTTGTCCGATTTTGATCAAATTTACTTCGTAATTCAAGAGTCGTGGGAAAACTTTATATTCTGATTTTTTGAGCTTATCCGTTATTTTTATATAATTTTTTGATCTTTCCTATGACAGCTATAAGATATAGTTGTGCGATTTTCATGAAACTCTTTTCTCAACTTAAGGGTTATTAAAAAACCTGATATTCAAAAAATTATGCTCGTGGGATAAAAAACAACGATGTTATCAATTTATTTCCATTAATTCTATATATATTTTTCGATCTCTTCTATGGCAGCTATATGAAAGAGTTATCCGATTTTGATAAAATTTAATCCGAAATTCAATAGTAGTTAGAAAACTCCATCTTGAAGAAATCAAGCCGATCTGATCAAAAACAACAGCATGAGAATTTTTTATTTCATTCTCTCGTATGGGAGCTATCAGATATAGTCGACCGGTCCTGCCCGTTCCGACTTATATACTGCGTGCAATAACTACACACCTTTTGGGAAAGTTTTAGCAAGATAGCTTTAAAACTGAGAGACTAGTTTACATAGGAACAGACAGACGGACAGACGTACATTCGTATTTCGATTCTGATCGTGATGCTGATCAAGAATATGTATGTATACTTTATGGGGTCTAAGGTGTCTCCTTCACTGCGTTGCAAACTTCTGACAGAAATTATAATACCCTTTGCTCTGCAAGAGTATAATAATATAGTAAAAACATCTGAGAAGACAATAAATTCTTTCCGGTAAAGTTTTTCGCTTGAAAAACATGGCAATGTTCTAAAAACGGGTTGTCTCGCAGCTATTTCAACAAATAACAAGGTAGCATTTTTAAAAAAGAATAAATTTCCTAGCCCATTTTTAGCAAAAGCCCCTAAAGCGCAACAATTATAAGTTAAAATCTGGAACTTTTATAGTTATCATTAATTTACAATGATTTTGTATAAATTTATATTGAGGTCAGGTATTTGTACTATTAACAAAAAATCACGAGGAATTTAATTTAATATTCAACATCTGAGATTTTACTATATTATTTTTAAACAAGAAAAGAAGCTTTTGTATATACCCTTGCAGTCATCAAATACATACATATGTATGTATTTACATACATACATATGTCGAACAAAATACAACATCGAAGCTATGACGATTTTCCTATTAATTTTCCATATTTTCGACTATTGTTGCCATATGTACATATATGTAAGCTGCCATATAAGCTATATGACATGGTTATACGATTTCGATAAAATTTAATTCGTAATTTAAGAGTGGTTAGAAAACTCTATGTTCCAAAAATGATGCTTCTCTGATGAAAAAAATGGATAAGAATTAAGGTGCCAATCAAAAATAGTTAATGCATAGTTAAGCTGTAATAAGCTAATACATCAATTAAACTGTTAATATCTGTATGCAACCTGTTCAATTAGAATTTCTTTTGACACTCACACCTCTCACCCTTTTTTCTACTGCTGTAAATTAATTCGTTTTGGCACAGAAAGGATTTCGGCTTAAAATCGTCTTCTTGCTCAAGTAAGCATACATACATACATACGCACTTACTTGTTCTCACACACGCAACCGTATTCTATTTTTTAAATTTTTACGCTCTCAACTTTGTGCGAGCGTGCTGAGAGCGAGAGAGGATAGAAGAAGATAGAGAGATCGTTCGTCAGTGGTTAGAGAGGGATGGGGATGTGTCGCGTAACCGAAAAATGTGACGCGTAACCGAGAAATGTGACGCGTAACCGAGAAATGTGACGCGTAACCGAGAAATGTGACGCGTAACCAAAAAATGTGACGCTAAATTTTTTCCAACGCCGATAAAGAAGTTTCACTTCAAAAACAAAAACAAAAAAGTTATAGGCGTTTGAAAAAAAAAAAAAATGTAGTCAGCGTTGGGCCATGTAGTCAGGGTTGGGCCACCTTCAGAAAATCGTTGACAATATCGGAACGTGGTGGAATAAAATTGAATTCAGGTAAATCTGACATTATTTTGTTCATTTATTTAATTATTTGGGATTTTACAGTAAAATTATCAAATTATTCAGAGTTGTTTTTCGTTTGTAGCGAGAAATACTAAAGAAAAAGATAAAAATGATTCATCTTCTTTCAATCCATCAAAATATTTTTTTAAGGAAATCTATTTAATTTATTTTGCATATTTTTGCTACAAAAAACTTAAATATTACAACAAAAATCGAAAATACACGAATAAAATGTAAAAATTATGATGGCCCAAGCCTGAATACAGAAGTGGCCCAACCCTGACGACATGCGGTATTAATCTATTATGGTATGATATAGCCAAACTATATCTATCAATAAAACTATATCTTAGTATTTTGTTATATAACAACTATATAACGTATTTTTATGTTCACTTTGCGGATGACATGTTGTAATCTTGTGTTATTCCACCTTTTCGGCCAGGTTAAAAAAACTTTTTCGAGCACTTTTTTTCAAAGAACAACGACACGTAGAAAAATGAAATCCCGAAATAAGTAGTCACGTGGAAAGTTTCGAGTGACCGATAGAAGTTTCTTGACACCCACAAACAGAAGGTACTAGAACGAATATTCGAAATATTGAGATGGCCCAAGCCTGACAATGGCCCAACCCTGACAACATTCCCCTACATAATATCTCATGGGGATTACCTTGAAGGGGACAAAATAGATATTCATGAATAATTGAATAATTTTTGAAAAAAACACAAAATTCGCGATACTTTTTGAACACACATCGTAAACGATTAAAAGATTTTCCTCCGCCTTATGTTTGTATGCCTAAAGTTGTCGTTAAGAATAGGATTAAGAATAAAAAGGCGACTTCGGCGCCGTGTAAACATATCGATTTAGATTTCCGTTTAAAAAACTTAATATGCCTACGTAATAAAGATTACTCAAAAAAGTAGATGTGGTTTGTAGAGATTGAAAAAAATGCTATAAAAAAAAATAATAATAGTCTGCTTGGTTATGTGCCTTAGATTTATGAATATGCAAGTTCTCCTTTTTTATTTAATTTAATGTTCTTGAAAGTGTGTAATTGCCGATAACTAACTAAATACTTCTTACCTGGATTTGTTTTTAGGCAATTGAAAACAGACATTCTATGGCAAAAGCATTGTACTCGAAAACGTTTACGTGGCTGGTTACAAAAATTAATAACTGTACAAATCCTGGACAAGATGGCGCCAAATTTCTTGGAGTTCTCGATATATTTGGATTTGAAAATTTTACTCACAACTCATTTGAACAACTGTGTATAAACTATACCAACGAAAAGCTTCACAAATTTTTTAATCATTATGTTTTCGCTTTAGAACAATCGATCGTAAGTAATAATTTAATTCTAACTTATTAAAATAAAAACTTACAATCTAAATTATATGATACATTTGACTAAAATATACCATTTATGAAGTAAGTAGTTAAAAGCCTAATCTAACAAGAAATAAAGCTAGCTTCGGCAAGCCGAAGCTTATATACCCTAGCAGTCATCAAATATTTCGAACAGAATACGCAAAGGCTAAGAAACATCGAAGCTACGACGACTTTTCTATTAATTTTCCATATTTTTTACTATTGTTCATATGGCAGCTATATCATATGATATAGTCGTCCGATTTTGATGAAATTTTATTAGTTATTCAAGAGTCGTTAGAAAACTCTATATTCCAAAAATCATTTTCTGATGAGAAATAACGATGTTATCATTTATCATATGTTATTATTTATAATATGCAGTCTTCGTCTATCTCTCGTCGCGAGCAGTCATCTCTCGTCGTAAGCCGATACCTTTTTTTTCAAAAGTGGTTCCCGAACCTTCTACCACGTGGTTCTCTTCGTGCGCAGACGTCAGTGCTTGCTTTCTTTCGTGGCCTCGTTCCACACGGTTATCCGCTAAAATAGTTCCTTTATATTTTTTCTCCAGTGCCAGTTTTCAAGCCTAAACTTAACAGTGTCAAGCTATTGAAACCATGCCCCCTGGGCCCCCTAACTTAGGGGATAATCGCTTTGCATGGCTTAGCGATAGCCCCAAATAAAAAAAAAAGACCTTTCCAAAAACTTCAAGAGGTGTTCCCAAAACTACCCGAAACAACAAAAGAAAATCCAAAGTTTATCATCATATCTTCCAAAAACACAAGCAACAAAATTTCCGAGTTTTCTTGCTTTGCTGTTAACCGTGCGTTAAATATTATAAGCAAAGAAATTCTGTCCATCTCCACTCTTCGGGATGGCAACCTTTTAATGCTCGTTAAAAACAAAAACGCTGCCGGCAAATTCACGAAAATAAACAACCTAGCAGGATTATGCGACATCGAGTGCAAATTACATGAATCCCTCAACTTGATTAAGGGAACCATCTACGCCCCTTGTCTAATAAACATCCCCGAAGACGAAATTGTTAAAGAACTGGCCAGCCAAAACGTTCACTCGGTTTTCAAATTTACCAGGAAAGTTGACGGGACCCCAAAACCCTCTGGAGTTATTCTTGTAACCTTCGATCTCTACAACCTACCCAGCAAGCTTGACATTTCATGGCACACCGTCAAGGTCAGGGAGTACTTCCCCAACCCTATGAGGTGCAAGACCTGCCAAAAACTGGGCCATACAGCCAAATTTTGCAAAAACTCTCCTACTTGCGAAACGTGCAACTTTCCCCCCATACCCCATCCCCTTGCTCACGAACCCAATGCACAAACTGCTTAGAAGAGCATGCTTCCTCTGCTCCCTCTTGTCCACGATACCAACAACAAAAAGAACTAATAAAAATCAAAACAACAAGGAAATGCAGTATAAGAGAAGCTAGATTACTTCTCAAACAGGAAACTCCTTCCATAATTACATCAACCAACTACGCACGTGTTTTATCCAACAACGGCCCTGCTAACAAAACAAACGACCATAGCAATGCTCATCTAAGCACTGCCAACATCACCAACCACTCTCAAGAGACTGCCCTCCCGCTCTCTCAGCAACAACCTCTCTTATACACTTCTTCCTCAAGTAAGACAAAAACTTCCAATACAAAGAAAGATACCGAAACACTCACTCGCTCCTCATCCACTCTCTTGACATCTAGTGCTCCCAGCGTTAGCTCGGACCAACAACACAACTCTACGATTTGCGACAATCTCACTGCACGCATAGAACATAGCCGCACTATTAGAAGTGTAGCCGATAAGTTAATACATGATATGAAATCCATCTCTCCCACAGACACCGCCTCTGACTCTGACTCTTAATAGCTCACTTTGACTCCCTCTAACCAAAACTAAAACAAATTCCTCTAACATGGTCATTAATATCTTACAATGGAACATTAATGGTATCTTCAATAATTACCACGAACTTAAATTACTCATAACCGAATTTTCTCCTGATATTCTGTGCCTTCAGGAGACTCACTTGCCACATCACATTTCAAATTTTCAATTCCCCAAGGGCTATAGAGGGTATTTCCTGAACTACCCCTAAAACACATACGCAAAACAAGGAGTAGCTATACTCATAAAAGAACATATTCCACAATCAGAAATCAACATAAACTCTGACCTCCTTTGCAACGGTATCAAGCTGGAACTCCCAAACATAATTACAATCTTAAACATGTACATTCCTCCGTGTCAAGGTTTTTTCTAGCAACGATTTATCCTACGCGCTAAGCCAAATTACCGAACCTCTTCTGCTTCTAGGAGACTTCAACTCCTGGAGCCCTATGTGGGGTTCTCCAAAATCAAACAAAAAAAAATAGAACAAATCATATCTTCTAACAACCTTGTTGTTCTCAACAATGGTTCTGGAACTCACCTTTCCACCCACAATTTTCTGACTCATGTTGATATATCTTTAATATCCCCCACAATAGCGCACCGCTGCAGTTGGTCCCTCAGTGACCAATTGCACGGCAGCGACCATTTCCCCATTTTCATTGCGCTAGCCATGCCATTTTGCTCTGATGTAACTCTACCTATTCCCAAATACAAAACCGACCTAGCCAACTGGGAAAAGTTTAGTAAAATCTGCGCTGAACTTGAAGCAAGATGGGCTCCTGGTTGCTTAAACCACCAGGTCGCTCTTCTCTCCAAAAGTATCCGAGCTGCTGCCAACTCCTCCATCCCTCAAACAAAGCGCATCCCGCATAAAGCAAAAATCCCCTGGTGGAACCCCCAGCTACAGCAGCTTAGGGACTCCAAACAAAGACTTTTCCATATTTTCAAATCCCAAATGACCACATCTAACCTCTTAAACTACAAAGAGCTAATGCCCTTTTCAAGAAGACAGTGCTTCTCGTAAAGCGCAAAGCTTTCGAAATCTTCACCTCCCGAATCTCCCCAGCCTCCTCCTGTAAAAAGATATGGTCAGACATTAAACGCCTCTCTGGGTCCCCCCAGAGATCATCAAATGCATCAAATCAGACAACAGCTTATTGACTGATTTCCTAGCCATTGCTGAAAAATTCAGCAAAGTTTGGTCCAAATATGGTGCGGATGATAACTTTAGCAGCGAATACATAGCCCGTAAAGATTCCTTCCTTTCCTCATCCTACAATCCCACTGCCTTATCACCAACAGCAAAATCTCTGGATTCTCCTTTTAACATGTTTGAATTCGAAACGGCCCTTCATGCCGTAGGTAAAACTCCCGGTGCCGATAGAATCTCCTATCCCATGTTAAGGCACACCCCACAAAGCCTTAAACAACGTATCCTGGACATTTACAACTCCATGCTGTCCACAGGCAGTTACCCTTACACATGGAGATCCTCCACAGTCATTCCCATTCCTAAGCCAAACAAAAATCCATCCACAATAAACGGGTTTCGCCCAATATCATTAATCCCTTGTCTCAGCAAAATAATCGAGAAAATGATGGCCCGCCGACTTATGTGGTACATCAATCGTCACAACCTGTTAAACGGCAACCAGGTTGCATTCAAAAGCCACCACAGTACCATGGACGCTCTCCTTTAAACCCAACACTTCGTTTCGGATGCCATTTCGTCAAGAAACCATGTCTCCATCCTGGCAACGGATTTCGAAAAGGCCTTCGATCGCGTGGGGCTGCATGCTGTGCTCTCTCGACTCCAGCTTTGGGGCATTGGTCCAAGACTTTACAAGCTTGTAAAAGCCTTTATGACTAAGAGGACCTTTAAAGTCAGAGTCAACGACAAAACCTCTGGACCGGCAAACTTGTCCAACGGAATCCCTCAAGGGTGGCCTCTATCTGTTGTCCTCTTCATCATTGCCTTCGACGAAATCAACAACACTCTGGCTAGATACAAGGAAATAAGAATATCCTTATACGCAGACGACGCCATAATCTATACCAAAGCTAAAAATCTAAGTAACGTAAAAAACATATTCATTAATGTTCTTCAAGATTTAGAAGCCTGGGGTTTACACTCTGGTGCTTCTTTTTCCATTAATAAATGCCACACTCTGCACATTTGCCGCAAAATCCACTGTTGCTTCCCAACTTTGGAATTCAACAACAAGGCTATCCATCCTGTTCCAAACTTAAAAATACTTGGGATTACTTTTGATTCCAGGCTTAGCTTTAAGGAACACTGTATTATATTAAGAAAAAAACTCGAATCCCGAGCTAACATAATCAAATTTCTCAGCTCCAAATTCTCACACATACACCCTAATACTCTAACCAACCTAACCCGTACCCTCATCCTTTCCAAAATTGATTACGGCCTACCTATCTACGGCTGGTGCGCAACATCCAACTTGAAGAAAATCCAACCTCCATATTACTCATCAGCTCGTCGTTCAATTAATGCATTCCCAACATCTCCAATACAGTGCGTTCTGGCTGAAACCGGACTACCAAGCATTCTCGATCGTTTAGAAAGGACCACAAAGAACCTTATTCCAAAGCTACTCACTAGCCCTAACCGATCGCTAGTAAAAGATTTTGTATCTACTTTTAAGAAAAAACGGAAGCCCAGAATTCTCTCAACTCTTCATAGATGCTCCAGCTTCACGGATTTGCTGGGCTTACCACCGCCCAAACAAAAAACAAACACCCACCTCCTCCCACCTTGGAAACACATATCTTCTGAAATAAACAAGCAACTACATCACTACACTAAAAGCGAAACACCTAAAGAAGTCTTCCAATCAGAATTCGCACTTTTGAAAAACCAATTGGGCCAAAGGAACTGGCTTTATTCCGACGGCTCTAAAACAACGCGGACATCATCATTCGCTGTTGTGAACAGTGACAACGTCATTTTATCCGGCGGAACCCTTCCGAGCTTCAGCTCCATATTTACCATCGAGGCCTTTGCTGTTCTTCAGGCCTGCCGATTCGCTTCCAA